CCTGGGCCCACTCTGCGTTGTTGTCACCTTGCATCCGCTCCGCCAGGAGTAGAGCGGCCTTGATTTCCGAAAGCTTCATGTCGCTTGGCGGCTTGGCAGCAAAAAGCGTCTGCTGCATTTGGAATTTCTTATGCAAACCACCCAAGATAGCCAGGGCGAATTGGCAGTCGTCGGTCTTCGAGCCTACTGCAACCATTTGCTCGCGCAGATCCTCTGCTTCCTCGAAGTAATCAACAACGGACTGGCCTGTCCGTTGCTTCAGGTTGCTAAATTTCTGCTTTATGAACAAAATGTTCGCTCCGATCTCAGACACGCATTCGGCGCGGATCGCATCCCACGCTGCGGCAGAGTCGGCTGCTTGATCGATCAGCCTGTGAAAACGGGGCACCGTATATTTCACCAGCTGCGATTTTGCCTTCATGGACTTGTCGGCGACGGCGCTCGGCAGGTCTGCTGCCTCGTCCCACAAGTCCTTGCCGGCCAAACAGTACTTCATGGCCGTCCGCCAGCGAAAATAGTTGGCGTAGCTATCTAATCGCTCTACATCATTATCCTTCCCCATACTTGTCCTATCTCTAAGCCAGAGAGTTGCTAAGCCAGCAAGTTCGGACACAGTACTTAAGCAAAACGCTCGCTCGCTTGCCGCGGCGGCGCGGGGCTCATAACCTGTTAAGATATAGGCGAGTGGAACTGTGTAGGTAAAGCCAACCTTAACCGTTACAGGTATCACAGAACAAGCTTTCAGTCAAAACATCATCTCCTTTATACCAAACATTCCATCTTATCTGTCGTACAGCCGTTAGTGTTCTGGCCGGAAGTCAACATACCCTCCTTGACGCCTGACCTTTCTGGCTGACCGGCGATCAACTCCATTTAACATCTTTCTTAACGATACGCAGGGACTCCGGCACGCGGCTTAAATTTGTCGTTATCGATAAAAATAGCGGGATAAATAGTCCTGAATTTGATGTCGACGGCTGCGCTTGGTACCAACCAAGGGACGATGGCAACCATGGCTGGGAACGCGAGGGCGCGATTCTCCTGCCAAAAAACATCAAGTCTCCAGGGGCTGTACTGATTCGCAAAGAACCTACCGAGAACCGCGCCTCCGCGCAGGATTACATTGCCTGCTTCGAACTCATCTGGTAGGAGCTTTCATTACTGTTGCTTGAAATCACCATTTTTCAGCCCTCCCCCTCTCGGTGCGTGCCCATCTGTGCTTTCCTGTACTTAGGATGACTGTTGCGCATCGTATAGCAATGTTTCCGTTTTGCTCTGTTTAAATTCAAGCCACCGTGCTCAACCACCATGTATGCAAGAGCATATGTCCTTACGAGAACGGGCCTGATCTGGCAACAACCTATATTTCCATTTCACCATCACCTCCAAATGACTGAAAGATGCACGTGCACCTGAATATGGCCGCCATGCTAAAAGATAATAACGGAGTGTAATAACACTCACTCGTTGCCTACAGATACATAGAGCACAAGACATGTACACACATACATACATGCATGCAAACATGCATACGGACATACATACATACACACGACCATTGCCCCCGGGAGATCCCGGTATCGAGACCTGCCAGGGTCGAAAATCCTTCTGATGGTGCAAGGTAAAGTGCCCATAGTTGATGGACGGTGGTGACCCGGGATAAAGTTGACCTGCGAGCCGACCAGGATTGGGCCATTGTCGATCAGATTCCGGTTGGATGCTGGTGGTGGGTGCGGAACCTGAGCGATCCACTGAGAAGTTGACTAGGGTGACTGGACGAGGGTGTCCTGAAATACCGGGGAAGGCAGGGGAATGGAGGCGGTCACGTCGTGCAGGGAAGAACCCTTTTCCTTCCCTAGTGCCGCTCCGAGGTTGTAGGGTGCTGGAGAGCCGGGGAGGTGGGGTCGCTCGGACAGGGGAGGGGGGAAATGGCGGTGAGAGCGCCAAAAGGATGTAGGTTTACTGGTGTTTGGGAGGTTGAGGTCTGGTGGTGGTAGCGGGGCTCGGATGAGGGGGAGATGTGGCCCGAGGAGGGCCATTCTATTTAGGCACGTCTTCTCTGTGGGACTGGGTTGCTTGGTGAGGGACGAGGGTGAGAGCGGTGCAGTACGAGACAGGGTGAATAGGCTTCTGGAGGACCAACCGTTCAGGTTAGTGGCGGTAAGGGGGAGGCGCCGTGCGGGTTACAATCCTCCCCCTGCGGTATTTTTGAGGGCCTAGGAGCTGTGTGTCGTGGCAACGCTAACGCTTTTGTGGTTTCGCCGGTCTATCCCGGGCCCCTGCAGTGGTGATCGGGCTTGTGCGTGGTCCCTTTTCTTTATATAGCTACTTCTCCCCTGGACCAGCCCAGGAAGGGACAGGTAGTGGAGGTCAGTTGTTTTAAGGTGGTTGCAAGACGTCTTGTGGTGTCGAGCTCTCTTAGCCTTTCTCTCTTGGAGGTTTTTTTTGTTGGCCTGTTAGTATATCAGGAACCCTCCCCTGCCGGGACTGCCCTAACCGAATTTTTGTTTGTTTGTTTTTCTCCCTTAGAATCCCGTTTTCGTTGGTGGTGTTTTGGGGGGTTGTTTCAGAGAGCCTTTGACTTTGCCCTAGCTGAGACTTGTGGACTTGCTCTAGCGGGACCTGAGAGCCCTTCGTGGTGTTTTCACTGCAGCGCCATCCCCGGATGGGGGGGCTGCGGAGTGGCTGCGTAGAGTGTTGGCAGTCTGAGTCGGGGTCGGGAGCACACAAGACTAACCGACCTGTGCTGTGTGCTCCCGACCCTTGCGCTGTGTTTCGGCTTCGGCCCCCGGCTCTCGCGGCCCACAGTGTAATCTAAGTCATACATACATACATACATACATACATACATACATACATACATACATACATACTT